GAGAGGGAATGAGAGAGCTTTCAAAGAAAAGGGGGGATTTTATGTATTGAGTGTCATGTAGAGTCTAGGGAAGGAGATGGGTGAGAGGGAAGGAAAAGAACGAGGTGGAGAAAGAAAATGAGGAGGGACGAAGGATCGCGAGAGGGACGAAGGACTGGGTGAGAGGGACGAGGGGCCTGAGAGGGACGAGGGACCTGAGAGGGACGAGAGATGGAGAGGGACGAGACGCGGTTGAGGACGAGAGAACTGGAGAGGGATGGAGTGACCTGGAGAGGGACGAGAGATGGGGAGGGGACGAGGGACCTGGAGAGGGACGAGAGACCTGGAGAGGGACAGGACCTGGAGAGGGACGAGAGATATGGAGGGGACGAGACCTGGAGAGGGACGAGGGACCTGAGGGGACGAGAAACCTGGAGAGGGGACGAGAGATATGGAGAGGGACGAGTGACCTGGAGGGACGAGAGACCTGAGAGGGACGAGGGACCTGGAGAGGACGAAGGACCTGAGAGGACGAGGACCTGGAGAGGGACGAGACCTGGGGAGGGACGAGGGACCTGGAGAGGGACGAGGGACCTGGAGAGGGACGAGGACCTGGGAGAGGGACGAGATCTGAGAGAGACGAGGACCTGGAGAGGGACGAGAGATATGGAGGGGGGACTGAGAGACCCGGGAGAGGGACGGGAGGACCTGGAGAGGGACGAGACCTGAGAGGGACGAGAGACCTGGAGAGGACGAGGACCTGAGAGGGACTAGATATGGAGGGGGGACGAGAGACCTGGAGAGGGACAGAGGACCTGGAGAGGGACGAGAGACCTGGAGGGACGAGGGACCTGGAGGACGAAGGACCGGAGAGGGGACGAGAGATATGGAGGGGACGAGAGACCTGGAGAGGACGAGGGACCTGAGAGGGACGAGGGACCTGGAGAGGAACGAGGGACTGGAGAGGGACGAGAGACCTGAGAGGGACGAGAGACCTGGAGAGGACAAGGGACCTGGAGGGGAAGAGATATGGAGGGGGGACGAGAGACCTGGAGAGGGACGAGGGACCTGGAGAGGGAAGAGAGATGTGGAGGGGGACGAGACCTGAGAGGGACGAGGGACCTGGAGGGACGAGGGACCTGGAGTGGGACGAGGGACCTGGAGAGGGACGAGGACCTGGGAGAGGAAAGAGACCTGGAGAGGGACGAGAGACCTGGAGAGGGCTCAGGACCTGGAGGGGGAGAGATATGGAGGGGGACGAGAGACCTGAGAGGACGAGGGACCTGAGAGGGACGAGGACCTGGGAGAGGGACGAGACCGGGGAGGGACGAGAGACCTGGAGAGGGACGAGGACCTGAGAGGGACGGGGGAGGAACGAGGACCTGGAGGACGAGACTGGAGAGGGATCAGGGACCTGAGACGAAACCTGAGAGGACGAGAGACCTGGAGAGGGACGAGAGGACCTAGAGAGGGACGAGGGAACTGGTGAGGGACGAGGACCTGGAGAGGGACGAGGGACCTGGAGTGACGGAGAGACCCGGTGAGGGACATCTGGAGAGGGACGAGGACCTGAGAGGAAGAGAGACCGGCGAGGGACGAGAGACCTGGAGGGGACGAGGGACATGGAGAGGGACGAGGACCAGGAGAGCGGACGAGGGACCTGGTGAGGACGAGAGACCTGGAGAGGGACGAGGGACCTGGGAGAGGGATGAGGGACCTGAGAGGACGAGGACCTGGAGAGGGACGATGACCGTGAGAGCATGAGGACCTGGGTGAGGACGAGGGACCTGGGTGGACGAGGGACCTGGAGAGGGACGAGGGACCTGGAGAGGGACGGAGGACCTGGAGAGGGACGAGGACCTGGAGAGGGACGAGGGACCATGAGAGCGACGAGGGACCTGGTGAGGGGCGAGAGACCCGGCGAGGGACGAGAGACCTGGAGGGACGAGGGAACCTGGAGAGGACGAGGACCTGGAGGGACGAGAGACCTGAGAGGGACGAGGGACATGGAGAGGACGAGAGACCTGAGAGGGGACGAGGACCGGAGAGGGACGAGGGACCTGGAGAGGGACGAGGACCTGAGAGGGACAAGGGACCTGGTGGAGGACGAGGGACATGAGAGGAAAGAGACCTGGAGAGGAATGAGGGACATGGAGAGGGACGAGAGACCTGGAGAGGGAAGAGAGACCCGGCGAGGACGAGAGACCTGGAGAGGACGAGGGGCGGAGAGGACGAGACCTGGAGAGGACGAGGACATGGAGAGGGACGAGAGACCTGGAGAGGGACGAGGGACCTGGGAGAGGGACGAGGGACCTGGAGAGGGACGAGGGACCTGAGAGGGACAAGGACCCTCGTGAGGGACGAGGGACCTGGAGAGGGACAAGGACCTGGTGAGGGACGAGGGACCTGGAGAGGACGAGGGGACCTGAGAGGACAAGGGACCTGGTGAGGGACGAGAGACCTGGAGGGACGAGGGACCTGGAGAGGGACGAGGGACCTGGAGAGGGACGAGGGACTCCAGGAGGGACGAGGGACCTGGAGAGGGACGAAGGACCATGAGAGGGACGAGAGACCTGGAGGGACGAGGACATGGAGAGGGACAGGGACCTGGTGAGGGAAGGGGACCTGAGAGGGACGAAGGACCATGAGAGCGACGAGGGACCTGAGGAGGAACGAGGGACCTGGAGAGGGACGAGGACCATGAGAGGACGAGGACCTGGAGAGGGACGAAGGACCATGGAGGGACAAGGACCTGGAGAGGGACGAGGGGCCTGGAAAGGGACGGAAGGACCATGAGAGGGACGAGGGACCTGGAGGGACGAAGGACCAAGTGAGAGGGACAAGGGACCTGGAGAGGGGACGAGGGGGCCTGGAGAGGGACGAGGGACCATGAGAGGGACGAAGGACCATGAGAGGGAACAGAGACCTGAGAGGGACAAGGGACCTGGTGAGGACGAAGGACCATGGGAGGACGAGGGACCTGGAGAGGGACGAAGGACCATGAGAGGGACAAGGGACCTGGAGGGAACGAGGGCCTGGAGAGGGACGAAGGACCATGAGAGGGACGAGGGACCTGGAGGAGGGACGAGGGCCTGGAGAGGGACGAAGGACCATGAGAGGAACGAAGGACCATGAGAGGGACGGGGACCTGGAGAGGGACGAGGGACCTGGTGAGGGACGAGGGACCTGGAGAGGGACGAAGGACCATGAGAGGACGAAGGACCTGGAGGGACGAGGGACCTGGGAGAGGGACGAGGGGCCTGGTGAGAGACAGGACCATGAGGAGGGACGGGGACCTGGGAGAGGGACGAAGGACCATGAGAGGGACAAGGGGACCTGGAGAGGGGACGAGGCCTGGAGAGGGACAGAAGGACCATGAGAGGGACGAGGGACCTGGAGAGGACGAAGGACCATGGGAGAGGGACAAGGGACCTGGGAGGGACAGGCCTGGAGAGGGACGAAGGACCGCGAGAGGGACGAGGGACCTGGAGAGGGACGAGGGCCTGAGAGGGACGAGGACCTGGAGAGGGACGAGGGCCTGAGAGGACGAAGGACCATGAGAGGAACGAAGGACCATGAGAGGGAACAGAGACCTGGAGGGACGAGAGCTGGAGGGACAAGGACCTGGTGAGGGACGAAGGACCATGAGAGGGACGAGGGACCTGGAGAGGGACGGAAGGACCATGAGAGGACAAGGGACCTGGAGGGACGAGGGGCCTGGAGAGGGGACGAAGGACCAGAGAGGGGACGAGGGACCTGGAGAGGACGAGGGCCTGGAGAGGGACAGAAGGACCGTGGAGGAACGGGACCAGTGAGAGGGAACAGAGACCTGAAGAGGGACGAGAGACCGAGAGGACGACGGACCTGGAGAGGGACAAGGACCTGGGGAGGGACGAGAGACCTGGAGAGGACGAGGACTGGAGGGACAGCACGAAAAGGAAGTGAGGGACGACGAGGGAAAGGTAGAGTGAGAGGAAAGGTGGGTGAGGGAAGACCTGGAAACGGGATGCCCAGAGGCAGTAAAACAGTGAGTGTGTGTAACTGGGAAGATCAAGTCCTCCTCCCTCCTCCACCTCCCCCCCTCCTCCACTCCCACTTCCATCAGTGGGAGTGATGGGAAGGAGAAGAAAAATATAATGAGGAAGGAAGAAAGAGAGAGAGAGAGAGAGAGCAGGAGAAGGAGGAGGAGAGAGGGGAGAGGGTGAATAGGAAGAGGAGAAGTGACAGTGGAACAGGGATGAAAAACGAAGGAGTGAAAGTGGACCAGAGAGGAGGAGAAGGTTATGTGGGGTAAAGGTTGTCCCACTGATGACGTGGCCAGGAAGTTTGTACCTGTATGTATGTATGTATGTATGTATGTATTAAAAACCATGTAAATATTATAACTACAACATTCATAGTATATTTGTTCACTGGAGTCAGGTGGTCACTGGAGTCAGGTGGTCACTGGAGTCAGGTGGTCACTGTAGTCAGGTGGTCACTGGAGTCAGGTGGTCACTGTAGTCAGGTGGTCACTGGAGTCAGGTGGTCACTGTAGTCAGGTGGTCACTGTAGTAAAGTGGTCACTGTAGTAAGGTGGTCAGTGGAGTAGGGTGGTCACTGTAGTCAGGTGGTCACTGGAGTCAGGTGGTCACTGTAGTAAGGTGGTCACTGTAGTAAGGTGGTTACTGGAGTAAGGTGGTCACTGTAGTCAGGTGGTCACTAGAAATAGTGGTCACTGTAGTAAGGTGTGTCACTGTAGTAAGGTGGTTACTGGAGTAAGGTGGTCACTGTAGAAGGTGGTTACTGGAGTAAGTGTGGTTACTGGAGTACAGGTTACTGGAGTCAGGTGGTCACTGGAGTCAGGTGGTCACTGTAGTAAGGTGGTTACTGGAGTCAGGTGGTCACTGGAGTAAGGTGGTTACTGGAGTAAGGTGGTCACTGTAGTCAGGTGGTCACTGTAGTCAGGTGGTCACTGTAGTCAGGTGGTCACTGTAGTCAGGTGGTCACTGTAGTCAGGTGGTCACTGTAGTCAGGTGGCCACTGTAGTTAGGTGGTCACTGGAGTCAGGTGGTCACATTCAGCAGTGAAAATTTCGTGAAGGTTGGTTCATGATTGTGGACGCTACAGTGTAAACAAAACAGACCTACAGACAAACGAACCTACAAACCATGTCGATTTAGAGAACACACACACACACACACACACACACACACACACACACACACACACACACACACACACACACACACACACACACACACACACACACACACACACACACACACACACACACACACACACACATTACGACAACTACTAATGGATTAAGACACATTCCGCCACAAACATCTACAGACATTCAGTGTTCCCATTCCTAAGAATCTACACACAACCTCCGGGCCGTCACACAGCTTTTAACAAGGTGTATGACTGCAACCACAAGTGCACGGTAAACAAGGCTCTAGCCCACCCCACCGCCCACGCCTCATTCCCCAGGACGCGGAGTCGCAGGGATGGACTGAAAAGTGGTCGTGATTTCACCTCCCTCAGAGACAGTACCCGAGAGAGTGTGAGGCTACAAACTGGGTGGCAGGTCATGCAGGCGACGCTACAGGTCCACTGCACAACCCACCGCTACTCCAACCCACAAAACGTGAATGCAAAAAACAGGAACATTCACCGATGCCCCTTGACTCCGTTCCACTGATGAGACGCATCTCTCACACTCTCCCTCGGGCCCAGGTTATCACCACCTGTTGATTTATGGCCCTTGCTGGTGCTGCTGGGGATGAGGGAGGCAGTGAACAACGGAGGAGAGTGCAGAAGAGTGAGCTACGAAGAAAACCAGAGGCGTTGGACGGAGATGGCAGCGAAGAGGCAAGGAGCAGAGAGGTCAGGCGGGAAAAGGTCAGCCATGTACCACAGTGGGGACGATGACTGAGCAGGCTGCAGGTCACGGGAGGAAAGCATGACGATAACGATGAAAGTAGACGTGGTGGTGAAGGGGAGAGGGACGAGGAGTTGTGTGGGATTGTGAAAAGAGAAGGATTAAGAGAGATGATGGTAAGAGGGATTGGGAAGAAGGATTGAGATGGAAGTGGAATTGAGTAAGTTAGGAGTGGGGTGAGAAGGCCTCAGAAGTGGGATGGTGGGTGTAGGCACAAGAACCACCAGTCCCCCATCACGTACACCACCACCACTACACACTGCTGGAGTACTGCAACTATTCTGGGTCACACGGTGCTCTGCCCACTCACCTAGATTACAGCCTGTCATGACTGCCCCATGTGTGGCTGATTTATATTTGACAGTGTGAACCAGGTAGGGAGTCACCTGTATACTCTGGTCTGATTAACCTCCATGTTGTAGGGTGCATTACCTGCCTCGTTCATGACTTGTCTCAAACTTACACACCACAATTTCATGTTGATCTTAACGCTGATTTCAACCATCCGTTACATTATATATATATATATATATATATATATATATATATATATATATATATATATATATATATATATATATATATATATATATATATATATATATATATATATATATATATATATATATATATGCTGAGTTATGCCTGCAGCCTTCAGTGTCTCTGAACTTCACCGTGGGACGAGTCTTGGGTCTGTTTGATCTACTGTTGATGTATTCCTCTAGCTATTAGACCTGGTCACTGTCACCTTAGACCGTGTAATAATTTATTTTAACGCATTTTGGTTCAAGATCTCGTCATTATTGTCCCTTCGTAGTGGACTAGAATCTGTGGTTTATTTATACATTTTGTCGTTATTTTCACATCAAGTGGTCAACACGCACTGGCGAAGTTATTTCCTTGTCCGACAAAAGGTCAAGTTATTTTTGGAAGAAGGACTTAATATTACTCTGGTGTGTTTCGACTTTGGTTTCACTTTACCTGACGGATTACTGGACACCAAGTTGCCTAAATATTTGTATTAATGACTTCAAGAATTTTAATGTCGAATGATACCTTTGTTTTAGTAAATTCATTTACAATTCTACTATTTGAATTGCTTCAACCAGCTCTTGTACACGTGTTTGTAAATCTGTCAAGTTTGATAAACACGTGTCAGCGATACGAAGTTAGCTTCCTAAGTGTGCAGTATTCAAGTAATCATGTGGCCTTAGCAAGGCTGGAGAAACTCAACACTGGGGATATTTCCCTGAAGTGTGTGGCTGAGTTATGCTACCTGGGTGACATGATCAATGCTGGAGCTGGCACTGTTAGCTACTCAGTTAAAAGTGTCAGAAGTGGCTGGAAGAATATCAGGGAGATGCTGCCTTTATTGGCGGCAGAGGACCTGTAACACTGGTGTGAGAAGCGTGATGTATGGCAGTGAAACATGGGCAGTTAAAGAAGATGACATAACGTAGTAGTGAGCGAACTAAAATGAGAATGGTGAGGTGGATGTGAAATGCGGCACTGACAGACAGCAAACCCTGTTCAGAGCTAAAAGGGCACTTGGGTGAGGTTTTGTGGAGAGGAAGGATAGATGAGGTGGTTCAGACATGCGGAGAGAGTGGATGAAACCAACTGGACAAGAGATACGTGATGGTGAACGTTGGGAGAAGGAGAGGAAGGGGGTAGCCAAGAATGACACTGGGAGAGGTTATAAGATATGACCTCAGAGATAAGAACCTGATTAGAGAGGCCACAAGAGACTGTACTGTAGAGTATGGAGAGCTGCCACCAGGTAAACAAAGGCTAAACACGTGTAAGCTT